TAGTACATATACTCAGGTCACATAGTACATGTATTCAGGAGCACATAATACATGTATTCAGGTCACATAGTACATATATTCAGATCACATAATACATGTATTCAGGAGTGTATAGTACATGTATTCAGGAGCACATAGTACATGTATTCAGGAGCACATAGTATTGTTCTTTTCAAAAATAATACCATGGTGGAATGTCCCGGGCAGATCGCGGAGCAGCTGCAAGTGGCAGCGCCATGCGGCAGGGGGAGTCAAGGTCCCCGGGCGAGCGGCAGAGTCATGCGGTAAATGCGGTGGACGGCAGAGTAAATGGACATAAGGCTATACATAAAGCTAGACATTTATTATTTAAAGAAAGGAAAACATAAACAAACATAGAAAACAAAGACACACACGCACACACACACACACACACAGGCACCAGAGAGAGAGAGAGAGAGAGAGAGAGAGAGAGAGAGAGAGAGAGAAAGAGAGAGAGAGAAGATGGCTGCGGGCGAGGTCCAAAAGTGGCTGGGGTAGGCGTGGTTAGTTCTTAAAGTGACAGCAGAAGACTAACATTCCCGGATCCTTTTTATAATAAAAAGTAGAAGGTTAGACATTACAGGTTGAAGGAATTGGGGCGGCGAATTCTCAAGACTGCTTCCAGCTGATTTGTGGGCGTCGTCTTTGGGGGGTTATGGGGGTGAGGGAGATCCGAGAGAAGCTGGGTGTTGGTCACATCCTGGCATAACTGGTCTCTGCTCCCGACAGGACAGGTGTCTGTGGCATGGAAATGTCCCTTGTACCTGGTTAGGGTATTGGCAGAACAGAGGACAAAGTTAAATTGAGAAAAAATTTTAGGACCAGGGAATTGAGAGGTTTGTATCTGACCTGTTTACGGTGGGTTTTTTATTTGGCTCCCTGGAACTTATAAGAAAAACAGAAGTTTTAGACATATATATTGTATTAAGAACTCCTTGGGTTTGTAAAAACAGAAATTATAATGAAAAGTATTTTTTATTTGGTAAAACAACCTGGCAAAACCTCTCAGCTATCAGACTGTCAGAGATCTTTGAGAAGGATAAGATTTTACTTGAGTTACTGATTAAAAAATGACAGAAAATTTACTTGGTTGGCACCTAGAGCTACTCTTTGGTCCTCCCTGGTCGCTGAAGGTTGCATTTGACCTTTGTTGTTTAGTGCAGAGCCAGTCAGGCTTTTGAAGACTCTGTGGACTAGGAAATCTTTAGGAAGACAGGCCTACCTTGACCCTGGGAAGCTAGGCTATTGATTCCAGTGATCCTGTCCACGTTTGGAGGTCTCCAGTTTAGGTGATAGGCAGTTTTTGCCCAATGGTCAGCGCTAGGCAGTCGAAGCAAATTGCAGCTTATGTCTTCTCGGAGGAAACAGAGTTCTTGCTAGGAGCCATCCTGTCTCTTTTTGTTATGAAGAGTTTTTTAAATAATTAAACATTTAAATATCGCATTCCCCAGATCTCTGAGCAGTTGAGGGCTGATTATTAGGTATAGCTGCAGTATAGAATCTGTCTGGAAGATTGGGTTTGAGTTTGACTGTTTTGACTCTTAATAGGTAAGATCCACATTTGTAAAAAGACAGACAGAAAGAAAAAAACTGTTTGAAACATTAAGATTAGTGGCAGAACTGACAATGGTAGAAAACAGCTTAAAAGTACATACCGGTTTATGATTTTGTAGTGTGAAACGAGATGAAACGAACAATCATTATACATAGAGAACAGGAATTAGGCAAAGTGTATGTTTCTAATGGGCCCTATCAGAAAGCACGTCACTATGCAAAACACCTGTAATCACAGCTAAGGAGAGGATTTCAGTGAACACTGAGGAGGGGGAGGGGAAAGCAGGACATACATAACAATGGGAGAGCTTGGTTGTGTGATCTGGCTCTCAGTGAATCTAGCGATAAAGTCACCTGACCCCAATGAACATGGTGGCGGCCACGTGTTGTGGTGTGAATGGAAAGACCGCGGGAATTTTAAAAGCCGGGGGCTGCCTGGTTGTTATGCAGAGTCTGAGTCATGAAAAACCCATATAAACAGATAATTTAAGGCATATTTAGGCTGGTACGACTTGCTTTCCCAGGTCAAGACCGTGAAAAACCCGCAAAAAGCCTTGGCATCTCGAGCCTATGGGGAACGGCTCCCCGTTTAGGTGAGATGCAAACGACCATCCGAAAACATGTGCCCAGGCGTCCGAGTGCCCATGTGGGATGGTATCGGTTGAACCAGATCAGCCAATTACATCCACGAGAAATGTTGGAAGGAAGAAAAGACTGAAATAAAGAGGAAGAAGCCTGGGAACCCCGGGTCCCCAGGTGCGGGAATGCACGGGCTTAACAGAGGAAGTAAGCCGTAATGGACGCCAGGCGGAGAAGTACCCCTCCCCGAGCCCAGAAACACCGGGAGGACCGGTCAATCCCGGGTTAAAAAGGCTCAGATAAGCTGGCTGGAGTGAGGAAACTTACAATTAGAAGCCGGTGTTGTTTGTAGGAATAAGTCCAGGCAGTTGGCGGGGTTGAGGAAGGCCCTCGGTCCGATTCAGTCCCGGAAATTGGAGCTCAGAGTCCTGGATGATATGTGAAGCCAGGACTGGCCCTTGGCAGGTGAATCTGTTGAGTCCGTGGCACCAAAATATTGTTCTTTTTAAAAATAATATGATGATGGGATGTCCCGGGCGGCTCGCGGAGTCCGACAAGGATGGCCGTGAGTCCCTGCAGCACCATGCGGCCAGGGGAGTCAAGTGGGCGGTTACAGCGGATAAAAGGCTCATAGGACATAGTATTATTTAAAGAAGAGAAAAATAGAGAGAGTATTATTTAAAGAAGAGAAAAACAGAGAGAGAACAAAGACACACGTACACATGAGACGAGACAAACACACACACCAGAGAGAGAGAGAGAGAGAGAGAGAGAGAGAGAGAGAGAGAGAGAGATGGCTGCGGGGGAGGTCCAAAAGTGGCTGGGGTAGGCGTGGTTAGTTCTTAAAGTGGCAGCAGAAGATTAACACATAGTACATGTATTCAGGAGCACATAATACATGTATTCAAGTACATGTATTCAGGAGCACATAGTACATGTATTTGTTGTGCGATTTGCGTCTCCTTCAATCTGGAAAAGTTTTTCATGACTTTGGTCGTCTTGAAACCACAGTTTGACGTCTCCTCACGGTTAGACTCAGGGCCGTATCTTTCTGTGGCTGAAGCACTAACGAAGCCATGTTGTGTTCTCTTGGCATCCGTGTTTGCACATGGCAGACCACCGAACTCTGCACTTCAATCATGTCGTGGATGTGGTATCCACCAAGCTTTTTCCTCCTGTAATAAACAGACCTTTGGGAACGAGAACTTAGACACTGTGAATTTTTCACTCATCTAAACTTCTTTATATTTATTTATGTCACCATGTAAATGTGGATTTATGGATTACGAAATCGTTATTTTGATGTTCAGATTGCCCCAGCTTTGGCCAGCAGGAATATTTGAGGCTGGTTTAAGTGCCCTTCTGTCGGCACTTTCTTACTTTTTGGCATAAAACATTTCAGGCTCGTCCATAGTTTATTTATGGTACTGGTGATCTATTTATATTTACCATGCTGGGTCTTGAACCAAGGGCTTCATGCATACTTGGCAAGCTCTCTACCACTTTACCAGACCCCTGGCCCTTGTTTTATTTTTTGAGACAAGGTCTCCTGCTGTAGACCTGAAAGTCCTTGGCCTTGCAATCCTCCTGCCTCGGTCCCTGAGTAGCCAGGCACAGCTACTTTTCTCCGTGACTCCCGTCTAAGGGACCTTGATCCTTTTAATGTTTCTGCTTAGAAACCAGGACATAGCAGTACTGATCTCCCTTCTCAGTGCACAAAACTAGGGACGTACGAACGTGAGCCTGCAACCACGCATGCGTGTACCCATAGGGCCCTCTAGATCTGTCACGTGCATGCACATTGTACTTGATGCGTCTCATTTCAACCCCGTGCTGCTTTCGTGGTGGTTTTCCCTCTAGTTACGTCTTAAACTTGTCAGCAGATAAGAAACTTTGCTCCCATTAGCCCCAACACATCTGTATGCACAGCCTTAGAGTGGTCGCTCTTTCCCCCACGTAGACTGTAAAACCCCACATGAATCTGTTTCTCTGCGGGGACACTCTTATCCCACCTGGGCTCCGAGGCTAATACCAGACGCCCCACAATGTATGCCTCCCTGTGAATCCGTTTGGACAGTCACACTGGCTCCTGGCTGCCTGTCTTGCTTGGTCCCTGCCTAACTACATCAGGTTATTCAAGCAAGGGAAAGAATAACTACATCTACTCTCCTGTTATCTAAAATTGTTTATTTTTAAAATTAGCATACAAGGTAGTAGTCATTACGATTTTTTTTTTTTGAGACAGGGTTTCTCTGTGTAACAATCCTGGCTGTCCTGAAACTCACTTTGTAGACCAGGCTGGCTTCCAACGCACAGAGATCCACCTGCCTCTGCCTTCTGAGTGCTAGGATTAAAGGCGTGCGCCACCACTGTCTTACCATTACAGAATTTTTTTTTAAAAAAAAAAAACCAAAGTGTGTTTTAGTAGCTTCTCTTATCCTCTCCCCTCCTTTTCTTTACCCTCCTCTCCCCTCCCCTTTCCTTTTTCCTCCTTTTCCCTCTCCTCTCCCCCAACAAAATGCTAATCCCGGTCCTCCCTTGTAAGTCCCTGACTAGTCTCTTCTAAACTCCCCTGTCCGTTTATTCCTGACCATTCCGAAGTTGATAGTTATTTCTGCCACGTGTGACCCCTAAACTGTTGACCCCCTTGAACTGTGCCCTACACTGGGTCTGTGCTTTGGACTCCTGGCTTCCACCTTCAAGTCATCGCTATTTCTGCCCTTGGCTTGGAGCCTGGGAAGACTGCAAGTGTCTCAGGATGGTTCCTCCTTCAGCGCCCCGGCCCAAGGTTTGCTTGCAGAAGAAAACGTTCAGCTGCGGCCGTGGCCTTGCCTGATAGTCGGCTGTTGGCCCAGAGCGGCCCTATCAGTCCGTTGCACGCAGATGCCCTTTGGGGGAAGGGAAGGAGGCGTTGGCTTGAGGCCCCAGCTCTTCACTCTGCGGTGACTTACAACATCTCCAAAGACAGCACTCAGCCAAGACAGGCCTTCAGCAGGCTTTGTGACGAAAATGA